CATATCATTTTTTGTGTAAAAGTATGCTTTCGAGACTACCAAACAGATCAGTTATATGAGATGTATTTGCCATATTTCGTTTAAGGTAATGAAGGACTGTAGTTCGAGCTGACGCTTCCATTGAATTCTGCATAGTCTTGCTTTCTCAAAAGGTGTTCTCATCCAGCCAGAAGAGAACTGCAGTTTCGACCTCGCCTATGTCCTATCCATACCCCAAGTGCGATTGGTCAATGTGTCGAGATTACACGCTGCATGGTCATGGTTCGAGTCCCGTTGTGTGTGCTGATCAGTTCTAGGCAAGGTTGAAACTGCAGTCCAATTCTGCATAAATAAGAACACCTTTGGGAAAAGCAAGGCTACGTAAAATGCAGTGCAGGCATCAGCTCTATTGGCGTTATTGTGTAAAAAATCAGACACCAGTCCTTCATCGCCTAAAACCAATTGGGATGAATATGTCTCATACAAAAGTCATCTCACCTTGAACGAATTAACCCGACCCGGTAGGCAGAAACGGATGGGTCTTTTTGATTCTGACTCTTCGCCATAAATACGGCTCGTGGGGGACGAGAGACTGGAGGCATAGCGAGTTGAGGGTGAAATGTGTTCAGCGAACATTGGAGCGAATCAGATTTGGGCTGGGTCAATAAACGGCTCGTTGCACTGGCTGGCTGGTTGAATGGCGCACTTTCAACACAACCAAATGTTCATTTTGTGACTCGAGTTTTTAAAATGCGATCGATAGACACTAAAATGAAAAAGCAAATGCGACAGTGGAATGCCACTTGAGAGCGTGAAAAGGAGCGATCGATACCAGAGTTGGGCTGAGTCATCAGAGGCTGAGTTGTCGGTTTTACAGACGAAAGTTATGGTCTACTCACTTTTTCGGCTCGTTTCTTCAGCGAATCGGCACAACGACCCGCGATGTTTGATGATCGACGCACCAGATGTCCGCCTCTCTCTAAGGCTCGCTGTGTCTGCGGATGGCTGTTGTGGACGACGGCATGTGAACCGGCAGATCGCCGACGCGTCGACCGACTCCTCACTCCGGCCAGCCGCTTCTCGGGAAGCTCTTCCAGCCCGTCCAGAGCCTCTCCGTCGTCTTCTCCGGCGCTCTGAATGGCAGCTATCGCGTCCGGATGCTCGTGCGCCTGCAGGGTCGGAGTCCAGTCGGAGTTCCACTTCGTATTGCTGCTGGTGATCATGTTTATGTTCATGTTGGGGCTCGGACTTTGGCTCGGACTTGGACAATAGGCCGATGGAGAGAGGGCAAATGCGAAAGAATCGGAGCCGGCGCCGCTTTCAGACACCAACGCAGACGCGGACGCGGACGCCGACGCCGACGCCGCGGATCTGGTCGTGTTGGTGTGTGCGTGCAAGTCACCGTTCGGTAGGCCCGTCTCGACCTGCCCGACCGAGGCCTGCACTGAATTGGCCGGCCGAAGCTGCGTTGTCGGGCCGGCGGTGGACGAATGGACGTTGCGACGTAGCCGGCGAACGCGAAAGGCCTTCCCGCCACCCTCGACGTCGCCGTTGGCCTCGCCGTTGCGGCGGCGGAATGGATCAAAGTGCGCGTTGAGGCTGTTCAGGCGAGCCGAGGCGAGCTGTTCGTGTCTGCGTGTCTCGAAAGTGTTCTCACGAAGGGCCGACTGGAGGCTGCGGATGGCCGCGATCAAACTGTCCGTTTGCAGAGCGGACGTGGGCAACACGTCGGCGAGGGGCGCTGCAGTCGACTCAGTCCGTCCGGCCTCGACGGCGACGGCGACGGCGAGTCGCGGCTCGGCCGCCTCGTCGACGCACGGCTCGAGTCCGGGCACCGACTCGAGCTTGACGCCGTTGGATGCGCCGGAGCTGAGCGGCCAAGAGCCGGCCAACAGAGCCGCCTTCGCCTCGACACTCGTCCACAATAGGCCAGGCTGCAACCAAGGCGGCCGGGCGAAGACCCTGGCCAGCCGACCGCCAGGCCAAGCCGACTCTACTGTTGCCGTGGCGACCGGACTTGACGGCCGCGGTGAAGACGTCTTTGGGCCGAGCAGATCGAGCCAACCGGCCACCAGTTGGCTGCCGCGTTCTCCGAGCCCGACACTCGGCTCCGGATTGGCCGCAGCGGCCCGACTGCCCGTCGTCCAGACGCAACCGTCTCCTGACTTGGCTTGTTGTTGCTGTTGCTGCGGTTGTTGTTGTTGTTGTTGTTGTTGCTGCTGCTGTTGCTGTCGGTGGTGGAGGCACGGGTGGTGCTGATTGTGTCGACGTGATGCTGTCGGCTCTGAGGGATCGAGCAGTCCCGTTGGCCACAGCTTGTCGCTGTTTTGATTCGTCAGCCTCGCGACGTCGACGTCGACATCGACGTCAACGTTGGCGTCGACGTCGGTGTTGGCTTTCGGATGC